GATAAGCACCCAAGGGAGCTGAGATGCCGGTGCCCTGTCTGCAAGAGGTTCTCCACTCACTGGTAGCAGCAGTCTCTGGGCTGGTGTCGGCAGGTCTCTCCAGCAGCTGGAGAGCCCACCTGGAGTCCAAGATGCGAGGGAGGGGAAATTTAACTGCTCCACCTACCCATCACTGGTCGCCAAACCTCTCAGTGCTTAGACCCTGCTGATGCCTTTCTCCTTCCAGTTCTGCTCTGCAACCTCTTCCTGTGGAGTCTTCTGTAGATTCAGGCACCCTTCCTTCTGACCCTCATCTGATCTATGTTTGTCTGCCTGTTTGTTTTTTTCACTTTCATCTAAAATCTTTCCTTCTTGCGGAGACACTCTGGCTGGAGGTGTTTCTCATCGGCCGTCTTGCCCTGAGTCGATTCTTCTTTAAATGTTTGGTAGAATTCACTAGTCAAGATGCCTGCTCCTGACTTTTTATTTGTTGGAATGTTTTTGTTTTGTTGTTTTCTTTTTAATTGGAGTAAAAAACATATAAAATTGACGTCTTGGCCACCATTAAATATACAGTTCAGTAGTATTAACTATATTCACATTGTTGTGCAACGACAGATCTGTAGAAATTTTTCATCTTGCAAAATGGAAACACTGCACCCATTGAAGAACTTCCCATTTCCTCCCCACCCCCTACCAGCCACAACTCTACTTGCTGTTTCTATGAGTTTGACTACTGTAGATATCTCTTATAAGTGGAATCATACAGTATTTTTCTTTTTGGTGTCTGGCTTACTTCACTTAATACAACATCTTCAAGCTTCATCCATGTTGTAAGACATGACAAGAATTCCTTCTTTTTTAAGGCTGAATATTTATTTCATTTATGTATGTACTGCATTTTGTTTATTCTCCCATCTATCAGTGGACATATGGGTTGCTTCCACCTTAGCCATTGTCAGTAATGCTGTGATGAACATGGGTGTGTGAATATTTCTTAGAAATCCTCCTTTAAATATTTTTGGATATATACCCAGAAGTGGTAAAATATTAAAGCTTGTACTTAGAGGTGGATCAGGACATGAGGAATATTTAACTTAAAATCAATTATCCCTTTTTAACCATAACAATCCAACGATGGCACAAATGAATAGATAATTGTTTGCTTCTTTTTTTAAACCTATTTTTTAAAGTCCCACAAAAACATTTGTCATGACCAACCCAGGTTTCCCCTGTAAGAACACTGGGCAAGAAATTGTTTAGGAGTGCTCGTGTCATTTCCTCGGGACATACGCAGCCATGGGGTATTCACAGGCCTATGGAAAAAGTAAGGCTGTGTTTTAATGTAGAGATCATACCCTTTCATTTGACCTGGGGAAAAGGACAAACATGAGAAGAATTTGAGAATAATAGAAGGAATCTTTGCAATGCTGGGCCTGGCCAGCACCACCCTGAGCGATCAGACCTCACATGCACCTGAGGCGCACAGGTAACAGGGAGACTCTACAGACCAGATGGGATTACTTATTAGGGGTGCTTGCCACATAGGAAAGGATTAGAAAAAGTGTGGGGTTCCTGTTATGTGACAGGCCCTACATATGTAATTTTACCTAATCGCCACTGATATCTGTGACCTAGGTTAATAGAAAAATAGACCATGGCTCAGAGGGTTGAAATGAAGTTGCCCAGACCGCAGAGGGGAAAATGACTTAATCTGAATTTGCTGGTAAATCTGTCTTTAGTTTTTTTCAGAACTTACATACTGTTTTTCATAGCAGCTTCACCATTTTACATTCCCACCAACAGTGCACAAGATTTCCAATTTCTCCACATCCTCACCCACACGTATTTTCTGTTTTTTTTTTAAGAGTGTCTATCCTAATGGTTGTTAGTCAATGTCTTGTTGTAGCTTTGATTTTCTTTTCTCTTATGATTTGACATTGAGCATCTTTTCTTATGCTTGTTGCTACTTGTGGCTTTTTTTCTTGATTCCTCTGTATATATGGCTGCTTTTAAATGCTTAATTTCTCTAAGAGGCTCACTCCTGCTTCTTCTGTGGGCCTTAAGTGTTCTATTGTATTCCTCAGTAATCTCTTTCCCCAGGCATGTTCCCCTTTGTGGTCCTTTTGCTGTTTTCAGGAACTCTGCCTATGACAAACCAATCCTGTAGGCAAGTGGCTCTCAGGCAAGTTAGAAGGTTGCCAATTTAGCCTTCTCTGTTCTCTCAAGTATGTGGAATGGAACCTCTCAGAGCTGTATTGGGAAGGGGATGGGGCAAGGATGAATAAAAATGCCACAAATTTTCCTACCATTTTGAACATGGCTTTTTTCAGATTTGGCATTCATTTGATTGCTGCAGATACATGACTGATTTTCAGAGCTCCTGTCAAGTTATTTCAGCCAATCCCTGTTGATTATTTAATGGTTCCATGGGCGAATGAGGGCCTGGAGCTTTGTAGTTCACCATCATTGCTGACCTCACTCTCAATTAAACATTGTGATGTCTGTTTGCACTTCCTAAATCTAATTTGTTATAATACTTTTTTGTTGGCTCAACAAAAAAGCCTTTAGTTGACCATTTGTATTTTCTCTTTTGTGCCTATTTTTAAATTAGATTTTCTATCACTTTCTCATTGATTCATACACGTTACTGTTATTTATATATCTGAATAATATTCCACTGTTAGTTATGTAACTGCAACTGGTTTCCCAATTTTATTCCTTGACTATTGTTACATTTATGATTTTTCATTAAGTTTTTAATTTTAATACCAAATAGATATGCTCCATTATGGTTAGTGCATTTTCCTTTTTAAGAAATTATTCCCTATCCAAATTCATAAGGGTTTTTTCCCATACTTTCTTATCTTCTTCATATGTCAGTACTGGTTAGTCACCAGTGCTTCCATCTCTCTTTATTTAAATAGTTGGTTAATTTTGTATTTTAAATTTAAATAACACTTTAACATTTTTCTTCAGTTCCACTTAACAGAGAAAAAATATTTTAGTATATATACTAGGAAAGAGTGCTACAGAAAAGGACTCTATGATATTATCCATATTGTATTATGAAGGTTTGTTAATTCTAAGAATAATTATTAGAAGACCATATTTATTTAAGCTTAGATTTAGATGATTTTATGTCAGTAGCAGTTCTATTTGTGGCAATCAGTATAAACTATGTGTGTAATTAACACTTTGAATGCCGTTGCTCAGCATTTCCATATTTGTGTTTCAAGAAATATTAATGTGTGTTTTGAGAAAAAGTGAACTATGATCACACACCTTTGAGAAACACATTACATTACATCATTGGAAGTTTACTGTATACATTACCAGTTTTAACAGTCTTGTTATTACTGAAACAAATAAATATATTTTACTTTAAGTAATATTTTTTCCAACTGAAATATTATTTCACAAATAAAACATCTGTTAAAATTTGAGGAACTCCGTGGAACACAGAATGGAAAATATATACTCCGAATAACAGTGAAAATAGTTCCCAATTTGGAAAAATACATTTTAAAAGTAAATGATATGAAATTAAATAATATAGTATGAACCAGATGCAAACATTAACATAGATTATTGAATCATGGTGCTAGAAAAATAATTTTCTTTGGTGGCCCATAATAACCATGCCCTAGATGTGCTGTTAACATATTCTGGGATCCTTGCACAACCACATTTGCAATAGGAAAAGTAGGAACAGGATAATCAGAGACCCCAGTCCAATTAGAAGGCTTGATGATACCACCTGACGTTCAAGCCTTTACCCTGCAATGGAAGAGGTGGGTAGAGGCAGTGGTCCCAGTGCATAGGGTTAAGCATTTATTTATTGAATGCCTGTGATGCACTTGGTGATTTTTTTATGTAAGTCATCTGGTATTAATCCTCAAGTTAATATTATGAAGTTAGTTATTATTGTACCTGTTTTACAAATGGAGAAAGTGGCACTAAAAGAGTTGACTGCTTTACCTAGGATCCCACAGTTAATCAATGACAGAGATGGTATGTGACCTTGTGTGGTAATATATTCATAATATATATTATCTTATATTAGGGATAATCAAACTTAATTAAGTTAGGCTAAGTAATTTTTTCCAAAATAGCACATTTAGCAAGTAGTAGAAATAGGACTTGAAATCAGGAGATTATTGGAAATAAAATGTTCCATGCCATTGTAAGATGACTGTAGTTAACAATAACACACAGTTTCAAATAACTAGGAGAAGGACATTGAAGATTCCCAACATAAAAAAATGATAAGTGTTTGAGATGATGGCTATGCTAATTACCCTGAATGGGATCATTATGCATTATGTGTATTGAAACATCACTAAGTACCCCATGAATCCATGAATATGTACAATTATTATGTGTCAATTAAAAAATTAAATCAAAGGAAACAAGATGCAATCCCTTCCTAGATTTTGAGCTGTCTTTACACATCTAAGATATAGTTATTATGAGCCATCCAATAAGCAACTTTGGTTCCACCTGGAGTGTTGACCTCTTGTAGCTTGTGCTGTATAACTTAAAGGATGGTCCAGTCAGCCTTCCAGACTCAACATTGTATGATCAGTAAAATTATTTTAGGTCATAGTGTTGGTATGAGCCAGGCTCAGAGTGAAAAGTTCAAACTTTTATTGTGTGATTCCACGTATATGAGGTGTATGTAGAGTAGTCAAACTGATAGAAACTGAAAGTAGAATGATGGTTGCCAGCAGCTTCAGGGAGGAGGATATGGGGAGTTGTTTGATGAGTATAGAGTTGCAGTTGTGCGAAATGGAAAATTCCTGGAGATTGGTTGCACAACAGTGTGAATATCCATAAAACTACTGTACTGTACACTTGAAAAGGGTTATGATGTTAAATTTTATGTGTATTTTATGACAATTAAATTTTTTAAAAAACTTAAAAAGAAGAATATTCTTTGAAAATTTATCCTCCATGTAAAGTTAACTTATGTGACACTATAGGAAAATGTGATTTAGTAACTTATTCTTTTTTCACAGTGATCTGCAGCCCTGGATCATATAACCCCCGTGACGGAATTCACTGCCTTCAATGCAATAGCAGCCTGGTGTATGGAGCAAAAGCATGCGTATAGGCTAATATCGTAAATTATTCAGTGGTTTATTAAACACAAAAGTATATTTTTGAAATATTAGTATATAATAAATCACTATTATGTATTATGCCAAAATTAAATATATCAGATTTTACAAAAAGTGGTGTCATCATTTTAATCAAATACTGTATTTCCAAATGCTTTATGAGGGTGAGCATCCTGTAATCTTTATACATTGATCAAAAAGAATAAAGCGTCATCACAACTTTTATTTCATTTCCTTCACTACTGTTATATGCCAGATATTACTTTCACCACCACTAATACTTATGCTCTCTCGTATTGAGATGTTATGTTTGAATATGAGAAATTACCAAAAATTTAAAGATTTAAATACCAAGAAAATACATGAGTAATTTACAAAATGAGTAGCTTCTCAATTTTTCTAATTATTGTTTTATTTATATTTCTATCAACTTTAGTCTTGGACATTTCCTGTTTTGCTCTTCGTATTTCCTCTCTTAAGACATAAACATCTGTATATAGCAAACACACTACAAGCTGGATCTTGGCACAAATGTGCGACACGTTGACAGGAGAGTAGTTTACTCTTACCTAGGATCTACTGGACTTTTTTAAATGGACTAGTTAGTTAATAAATTATCTCATGTTATCATACTGTGGACAAATGTAACTCCAGAATTCTCACACAAATTCAAAGGGAAGAGAAATGACATTGTGGCTGTATTCCATTGTTAGCCCTGGTGGTGGTTTTAAAAAAATTCCTTTGGGCTTTCATCATTACAATGTAATTACTTTTATGTGGTTTATAGAGGTTCCCCAAGTGTCTTCTTTTCTCTAGTAAGTAAGGTATTGGCTGAGTTGTTATTCTTCCCTAAGTAACCAGCACATCAGGAAACCTACTAAGTCTCCATCTCTAAATGCAGTTCAGCCTCCTGAAGTTTCCAAATTTCTTAATTGTATAATATAATGAATTGAAATACATATTCTTTCCTTTTTACGCCTACGTTTGGCACTTTTTTCCTATATTTAAAATTTTTAGTAATTTTAAGTATGATAATTTTTCTGAGGCTTGAACAACATCACATCAATAGCCAGTCGGCCCAAGAAAGCAGAGGCATAGTTGTGAGCACCTATGATAAACACCTTCACACGCTGGAGATCAGACTCCAATCACAGAGACAGGTGATCTGAGATAAGAGTAGAGGAACAGTAGGTGGGTGATTAGAGCAAATCAAGGATTTTTAGCTTATAAAGGCAGACAGAAATAAGACCACACAGACATCTGAGAGCAGAACAAGGCAAGATTTTAAAAGTCCAGGCAAAGAAAACAAGCTGTAGAAACTGAAGCAGAGGACAAAATAGAAGAAAGGGAAGCATTAATCACTTCTTTTTCTTGGTTCCCACAGTGAAATGTTTTTTGCAGTATGGCATCATTTATCACATTTATTTTAGTTTATTGTTTTTGTCCTCTACATTCAATTATACTAGGATATTTCTAGTTTCATAGTTTTACTCATAGCACATAGTTACATGCTTAATAATTTTTTAAATTAATGAATAGATGATTAAAGCCCTGTGAGTATTAAATACTTCAGTCACTAAGCCAACAGTTGCTTCTATTATATTAACAGGTAGGATGTGAAATGTTAAAAGTTGTTTAAAGTGATGACAATGTGTATGATAAAAATGATAAAACTAATCTCTAATAGAGAATATTGTCCTAAAAGAGTTTCTAGTGTTTTTTTTGTTTGTTTGCATCAAAATAATATCTTACTTTTATATAATGCCTTAATTTTCACAAAACATTTTTTCAGACATTACATTATCTGATGTTTACATCAACCTGTGAAGTTAGCAGAGCAAATATGATTCCCATTTTGTATTTTATTAATTAGATTTTTTTCTCATTAAAATATGTAATATATGTTCATTTGGCAATAATGATAAAAGAATCTTTCCAAGTTTGGTCCAGTAATCTCAATGGAAACTATCCTAAGGTGAAATATTACATACAGTGTTGTTAATTGCCACATTATATATAATGATGAAAAGGGAATTAACACAAATGACCTACAAGAGAGAACTGGTTGAAAAAATTATGCTATTTCTATATGATGGAAAGTTATTGAGAAATTAAAATCCCATTTACAGATTAAATGAATTAAGATTCTATATCTATCTATATATTCAAATGTGAGTTTATCTGTATCGTTATCAGTATTGTTTAGATTTTTAAAACAAATGTGCCAAAATGTTAACAATGGTTGTTTCATGTAATGGGATCATGTGTGAGTTTTTTTTGATGCCCACTGTTTTCCAAATTTTCATCAATGAAATGAATTACATTTAAAATCTTGGAAGCAATAAACGTACTTTGAAAAATTAAAATAGTAGCAAAGTATAGAAGACATTATTGCTTATCTCTTCAATATCAATTTACTTCTCCCCTTCTTCCTAACAGAGCACCAAGTTTGTTTACTCCAGAGAATGATCCTTTTTAGCCAGTCAGCACATGACTTTTTCTGGTCACTGCTTTGTTGCAACCATGCGATGAACCAACTTGTGGATGAAGCCCACACTGAGAACAGAGTGGAGATATCAAAAGAACTGGGACATTTATGGTGCTGAGTCACTGCCCTTAATTGCATCCAAACCCTAGCCTGCCCTGGATTTCCCAGTTCTGTCAGATAGGAAAGTTCCTTTGTTTAAACAAGTTAGGCTTTCTGTTACTTGCAACTAAAAGCATAATAATTGATACAGTATTAATAATGGGAAAATTATGAAATAGAGAATTAGAAATAAGGGATAATATCACTTATAGTTTCATAATCCAGGTATCAGCAATGTTAACATTTTGGTAAACTTCCTACTTTTGTATGGAGTTTTTATTCATGCCATATGTGCCATTATGTAGCCAGTATTTCTCTTAATATAATGATATATATATTTCCATACTATTTTATTCACTTAACCAACATATTTCAATGGCTATCATATTTCATGCATTTCAACAAAAATGTTGTAATTATGGTTAAGCATTTCTAATTGTTGCACATTTCTATTGCTTCCAAAATTTCACTGCTATAGATAGCATTACAGTTGACAGCTTCTTCCCTAAAATTCTGTAGTATTTTTAAGTCGTCTTTATGCTGAATACCCAGAAATAGAATCACTAGGTTTGGATATTTCTAATCCTCTGGACCACTTGCTAAATTTACTTCCTAAAGAATTGTACCAATTTATAGTACCACCAGTGATATATCAGTGTACTTATTCCATGGCACCATCTCCAATAATATTAAATTATTTGATAGATGGACATAGTTTGCTGTATTATATTTTCATTTTTTTAGTGCTAGTGAGGTTGAACTTTCCTCATATAATAATGCTGCTACTGTTGTTGATGATATTTATTGAGTGTTTATTATGTGAAAGGTTTTCTTTGAAACCCTTCACATAGATTTTCAGATTTAATTTGCCCAACTCTGTGATTTATTGTTGTTATTTTAATTTCATACATGAGGAAAATGAGTCACAATAATTAAATAGCTCCTCAAATTTACACAGCTGGTAAGTGGGTTACAATTTGGTTGTGCTGCAAGTTCCCCAGGGCCCTGATCCTGGGGTTTCTTTAGGCTGGTGCAGTGGCTTCACAGTGACATCCTGACCTCGGACCACTTACACTTTTGCTCCACCCTCCTTAGTGCAGTTTTTTCATGGTTGCAGGTGCTGTTATGCCTACAGGTATTTAATTTGCCTTCCATTCAGAAAAACAGATGAAAATGAAAACCCCTCTACAGGACATTCACATTATGTTGAACAGAATAGTGTTACAAGGTCACCTGATACTATAAGGGAGGCTGGAAATTGATTCTCATTACCAGAGAAAAGGAGTAAAAAAAGGGAGGGAACATGGACTTTGGGTGTTGAGTAAGCCAGTGTCTTCTTTTGTTACACACATCACCCATTTAACTAGTCTGCATCAATACATACCCTTCTCCATTACATGTATGCATGTAATGTGCCTGTTCTCTCCCTAATGTCGTACGACTTCAAACTCCCGTCCAGTTACTGCATCCAGGTTGAATTTCAGAATCATGGATGATGTATAGAAGCTTATTCCAGGTACAGGGGTCCATATGGTCTAGACAGTTTATCGCCAACCTAACTAATACAAAATGGGTGAGAAGGAAGACAGTAACTAATTTTAAATTCCCATGCTGAAAAGGGAGGAAAGAGAAACACGTCTCAGTCATCCATCCAAGTGGACAAGATACAGTGAGATCCATCTGCTGTGGAATTGGTACAAGTTCTTTAGTTGATCCCTGGTTCTAACCTGTATGATTATCTTCCTTATACATTATATTCCACTTTCTGGAAGCTGCACTGTAGTTTCCAGTTCACTCTCTGTTAGAAGTCAGAGGCCCAGGACCCTCACAGGCTGTCTTTGGCCGGATTTGGATTTCTAAGGTGCAGTACAGTTCTCTTTTGCAGGGTTGTGGTGTAACCTGGACAGCATGGTTACAAAAGATGCAGAGGTGCCTCCAGAGTCTCAGCCTTTGCCCACTCTCCCCTGCTCTGCATCCAGCGCATCTTCATGTCATCTGGGGCATGTCGATACCCTTCCATTTGTCCATTATGGACAAATTTCTTCATCTGGCTTCTTCCTTCAAGAAAGAGTCATAATGCCTGGGGGTGGGGGACTCTCTTGATTTTGAAGTCAACATTTATTTCTCTTGGGCCTGCTATCCTACTCATTTACTAAGTAACCTGGAAGGCAGCCAGTTTTGGTTGAGGCTCAGAGCCAAAAATGGCTCTGCAACGATTCCAGGCCACTGTGCAAGCTGCTCTCTGCTTAGGCAATGTGACTCAGTGATACAAGTGTGCTGGGAGTGTCATAGAAGATAAAGGTATTGTATGGATTCTTGGGTAGGTTCTTAGAGATGAGGTGAATCACAGTGCAAACGTTTGTTGGAGAAAGCCATGCTGTCCTTTAGATAACTATTCTGTTTTTGAGAAACAGCTTTTGTATTGATGCTGGTTCCAGTGTTGGCCAACAAGTTACCATGTTATCTTAGCTGCTTTGTGAAGTGGGTGTTGTCCAGCCTACTGAGCTGTGAAGCTATGTATGTAC